CAAGTGCGTGCAAGCCTTGGAAGACTTGCTGGCCACCAAGGTAAACTATGTGGTGCAAGAAGTAATCGTGGTCGTCAAGGACATTTTGCGGAAATATCCCGGCTACGAGGGTGTGATCCCCACGCTGTGTGAACATATCGACGAACTTGACGAGCCGGAGGCTCGAGGATCCCTTATTTGGATCGTTGGCGAGTATGCTGAGAAGATTAGCAACGCCGACCAGATTCTTGAGAGCTTCGTCGAGGGCTTTATGGAGGAGTTTACTCAAGTACGTTTATCTGCCGCTAGGAACCTGATTAGTTTTCGAAAGTCACGCTAACAACGAATTCAGACACAACTACAAATACTCACTGCAGTGGTGAAGCTCTTCCTGAAGAAGCCTAGCAACACTCAAGGACTTGTGCAGAAAGTTTTGCAGGCTGCTACTGCAGAGAACGATAACCCTGACATCCGAGATAGAGCCTATGTTTACTGGCGCCTGCTCTCTGGCGACCTGGACGTTGCAAAGGTACCTTCAGTCCCTGGTACAGTGCTAGTTTATTCGATTCAGCTGACACTTTTTACGTAGAACATTGTTCTCTCCCAGAAGCCTACCATTTCCACCACCATGACCACGCTGCCGCCGTCATTGCTGGAACAGCTGCTCTCAGAGCTGTCCACTTTGGCTTCGGTATACCACAAACCCCCAGAGTCATTTGTTGGCAAAGGACGATTCGGTGCCGACGAAATCCAGCGAGCCGCAATTCAAGAACAAAGACAAAATGCGGCTGACAATCCCATCGCGGCGTCTGTTGCCGCAGCAGCCGCCAACGGCGCTGGTCCTGGCGCTTCTTCTAACAACATTGAGAACTTGCTTGACATCGACTTTGATGGCGCGGCACCGGCATCCCACGAGCAGCAAAGCGCGTCAGCGACGCCCGACCGAGTGGCGAGCCCAGCCGGTGGTGCCGCATCTGGTGGCATGGCGGACATGATGAGCATGTTCGACGCTCCTCCAATAGGCGCAACCAACAATGGAGGTGCAGCAGGACCTAGCTCTGGTAGCGGCATCAACGACCTGATGGGCGGGTTTGACGGGCTAAGTTTTGGCGACAGCAACTCGAGCCAGCCTCTCCCCGCGGCGATGCAGCTGAACAATGCGCAGGGCGGCAGCAGCACTCAGACGCAACAAAAGGATAGCGATGATTTGTTGGGGCTGTTGTGAGGAGGGTAGTTGTAATAGTTTTATTTTTTACTCAAATTTTTTTCTTTCTCAAACAAAAGAGGTTGCCTGGGAAAGCAGTAGGCGCACCGTTTATAGATCCACGGAAGTGTCAATGGAAGAAGCATCTTGGTTTGGAAGCAAAGTTGGCTTAACTTGCAATGTTGGGCAATTTTTGCACTCGTGCAATTCTCACGAAAATACGTGCTTTAGGTATCTAATGTAGGCAGTTTCCTCGAACCTTTTGTGATCCAATCCCCCCAGTCCCGATGACATGGCGTCTTCTTCCCTTTTTATCCACATGGTATTTCGGCCGGGCGCAATAGACGCCAAGGAACCCCAGCCTGTAATTATAAAATGCCATATCCCGCGCTCGTTCCGCAATCACGCACTCGTTCCGCAATCACGCACTCGTGCCTTGGACGTGGCCCCCGACAGTGCCGTCCATGGGGGGCCCCGCCTTGGCCTTGTCCCTCTCCCACTCGTCTGGCGTTTGGCATTTTGCCGTCCAGGCGTGGATGGCGGCAATCTCCTCCTTGAGAGCGGCGTTGGCCAGGCGGTGGCGCTTGAGGGAGTTGAGGCCTTGGAACTGGGGCGCGACGATGAGGCAAGTGAATGCTTGGCCGCAGCCGCCTATGAGCCCGTCCAGTTAGCTTTTTTTTGGGGGGGGGGGGGAGAACAAGAATGGGAGGTGGAAGTTGTCGCGAGATGGTGGATGGAGGGGCATTTTACGAACCAGACATGTCGGTGACTTCGACGTGGGTGGCCCCTAGACGCTGCGTGATGGCGTCACGTATGCTGGCATCCGTTATTTGGGACATGGTGACATGGGATCCTGAGGGTTGGCGCACGCGTCAAGTCAGGGTGGTTTGGTGTCGTGGACGCTGCGGGCGGACGAGCGATGTCGCAAAAGATGGGATTGATAAGATGGACTTGGCCGCGGGGCAGCTGCAGTTGCACTTGCACTTGCACTTGCACTTGCAGTTTGGGGTCCGTGTCGGGCGGTGACGTACAGAGACGCCAGGCGGCGCCGCGGCCGGACTGCTGACTCCATCTGCTGGGACTAACCCTAGTCGGGCCTGGTCGTCTGGCAGTTTCAAGCAGCAAGCTTCAAGCTCTGCAGAGCACTCGCACTCGTACTCGCCATCGCCCATCGCCTGCATGAGTTGCTGAGGGTTGGAAATTGACATGAGGACAGCTGTACGGTCTCGTCGCTGCCCATTGACCACCGCCCGAAGCCTCGCTCGATTCAACTCGCGTGCATCCTTGACCCCCCCATCATCGCTGCTCAGCCGTCGAGCTACACAGGCCTCGACGTTGTTCGGGCACGGCGCAAAGCTACTTGCTTGGTCTGCAACGTCGTTCTGCACCAGCTGCAAGATGAACGAAACCGGGGCATGGGGAGCTTGGCAGGTCCAGCCATCCAAGTTTACCCGCGCCGTCGTCGACGCTATGAGGACGCTGTACGCCCGGGCACGTCTCCTGATGGCATTTGGTTTCAGGCACTAACTCTTCTCCTGCAGGTATCCTGAGGAATTGGCAGATAGGTCATGGGACAATGTCGGTCTCCTGGTTGGCAATTCAGAAGCCGAGGGCAAGCAGCCCAAGGTTCTGGTGACAAACGATCTCACCTGGCAGGTCGCTGCGGATGCGATTGGCCAAAATGTCAGCGTCATTGTGAGCTACCGTAAGTGTTGTCTCCGGTCATGACCCAAGAAGAAGAAGAAGAAGCATATAGGCCCTTTCTGTGTCCAGTACTTTTAACATGGCAGCCCCAAGATCCGTTCATATTCTCTGGGCTCAAGTCCATCACCAATGACGACCCCCAGCAAGCGACACTGTTACGTCTGGCCCAGGCCGGAGTTGCTGTCTACTGCCCTCACACGGCCGTCGACGCGGCCCCCAAGGGTTTAAACACTTGGCTCGCAGACATTGTAGCTGGTCCGCACGCAAGCAGGCGCTCCGTGGCTGTTCCCTGCCCGGCAGCCCCTGAATCTCACTCCCCAGCGGGCTACGGCGCCGTGGGCCACTTTGAAGCCCCTGTTTCTCTGGCCGAGATTCTCAGGCGTTTGGCTTCTGAGCTCGGTGGTCTGAAATACGTCATGGTTGCCAGCCCTGTAGGCGCGGACATGAAGACCGCCACGGTGGGAAGCTTTGGCGTATGCGCGGGCAGTGGCTATGACGTCCTGAAGAAGGCAGACGTCGACTTGTTGGTCACGGGGGAAACGAGCCACCATTCGGCGTTGAGGGCCATCCAGCAAGGAAGAACATTGGTGCAAGTGTTTCATAGTAATTCGGAGAGGGGCTACTTGCAAAAGTTTCTCGGGCCAATGTTGGAAGAACAGCTAAAGAAGGCCGTTCCAGAAGCTCAAGTGGTCTTGAGCCAGTTTGACAAGGATCCTTTTACCATTTACAACGTCGACCATCTAGGTTAGGGAGGCTAGACAGTACCTTCAATTTGCGGGATTGCAAGATGGATGTTGAGCCAGCTGACTGTGGCCAAGGGCTACACCTGGTAGCATAGATTCGGAAAAAAAAAGAGAGAGAGAGAGACAGAGAGAGCATATCAGAGGGGGAGGGACAAAAGAGTTCACGTCGTCGTGTGCCATGTTCAAGACTACCGATCATCTCTAGAAGTCCTCTGCGGTAAATCCGGCACTGGCTTAAAAACGGCATCCCCTTCATCAATGACATCTTGTACATGGTCGCCCCCGACACCCGTCTCCTTCCACGCTACTAATAGGCGCTTGGGCATCTCCCACTGCATCTTGGCCTCTTGCACCTTGCCCTCCTTGACGAGATCCCTCAGCTTCTGCGGCGTAGCAAGCGCCTCGACGGCCAGTTCCCGCGTCCTCTGCCGCCTCAGCTCTGCCGCCCTCCGCCTCCCTTCCTCGGAATCGGGCGCCGGCACGGACTCGCGTAGTTTTTCTCGTATCGACGATGCCTGCGAGTATATCTGTGCAATGGCAGGGTCGAGCGTCGACGCCATGGGGTTCAGCGGGTCCATATTCGCCCTCATCTAGCTCTCACGGCATTAGCAACATGTTTCATTCTTTTTCTTTTTCTCTCCTTGGCCTCGCCTTCCCCCAAGAGTGGAAAGAGACGCTTGTTACCTTGCGGATCGTCTCCGTCGCCGTAATCAACTTGCTGTAGTTGTCGTAGACGAGGGCCTTCTTCTCGGCGTCCAGGGCCCTGACCTCGGCGACGACCTGCGTGTACAGGCGCAGCATGTCCTCCAGGCCGCTGTTGCCCACGACGCGCGCGACGTACTCGGCGGCGTTGAAGTCCGGGGCGTCGAGGTCGCTGGCGGGCACCTCGGAGCCGGCCACCTCGATGCGAGGCGCGCGGAGCTTGTAGTATTCGCGGAGGGCGGCGCGGTTGGAGCGTTTTGGGAGCGGCTGGGAGGGTGCGTCGGGCGCGGGCGACGTCACGCCCGACCGGGCCGTTTCCAGCGACGGCCGCCCGGACGAGGTGGGCGTGCCGGAGGGGAGACGCCGCAGGGGGTTTGCCGGGTCGCGCGGCGAGGCTATCGTGGACATGGTGCCGCGTGGCGAGCGTGTGGATAGGAGATGGGTTGAAGGCTGTGACATGACATGACGTTGCCGAAGCCCGGGGGTTTGGGTTTCGGGTTTTGGTGGGGGGAGCCAGGTTCCACCGTCGACCTGCAGGAACGACGCCGAGTCGTTGGCGGGTGGCCCCAGCTAGCACTCGCCAGATTCATGTTCGCCCCGTTGCATCGAGCTCGCTTCTATATGTGCACTCGAGAGACGTCGTCTCCTCGCCGGCAACATCCACAGCCATGGCCACCACCGCCCAGCTGCTGGAATCGATCACATCCCAGTGCCTCCCGCCGCCGTCACAGTCCCTCCTCACCAGCCTCACCACCCGCTCACCACAGCCGCCTCTGCCTTCGCTCGTGGCCACCGCCAAGGCGCGCCTGCTCGCCGCCGACCTCACGTCGAGCTCCTACCTGGACGGCGCGCAGCTCTGCCCCCTGCCCCCCGGCACAGACAGCGCCAATGTCAAGGAGGCCAAGCTCCGCCACCACACGCACGTGCAGGTCGTCGACATTGAGAACCTGAGCCTCAGTCGCTGGGAGCAGGTCGAGGAGATGGAAGCCATTGAGAGGGGCGAGAGGACGCGCGGAAGGGAAATTATTCGCGTCGCCGACGAGGAGAGTGCGGATGCGGCCGAGTCGTTGGCAGCCCGAGGAACGGGGACGGGGCCGCGGCCGCCTGTTTCTGCCGCCAAAAAGGCCACGCATCGTCTCGTCTTGCAGGATTGCAAAGGGGCGAGGGTGTACGCCGTGGAGCTGACGAGGATAGATGGCATAGGGGTGGGCAAGACCAACATGGGATGCAAGATGCTGCTCAGGGCTGGGACGCCCGTTGCTCGCGGCACCGTGCTGTTGACTCCCGAGAATTGCGTTTTGCTGGGCGGCAAGATTGACGCCTGGCATGACGCCTGGATGAATGGGCGAATGGCGAGGCTAAAGGAAGCTGCCGGGGCTGGCAATGCGCACACGACAACGACGACGACAACGACAACATGACAGGATGACAGGATACTTGATTTCTCATGTATCGATTTCTTACCAAGATACCCCAAACATTTTCCATATCCCTTCATCTAACATAGCACCCATGGTTGCTTCACAACTAGACACTGTCCAAATACCATCGCCGAGCCACATGCTTCTGTTTATATTCCGTCAGTCACAACTTTCAACGCTGTCCATCCACATCCATCCCACGGCGATAAGAACGCAGCCTTCTGGGCGTCAGTTGCCTTGCCCGTGCCTGCATATGCCTTTGCTAAATCTTGAGCCTCCAAGATACCCCTGGGCGGAATGCCTCTAGCCGCAACCTTGAGTGCCATTTGCGCAGCGTACTTGTCCCCTGTTGCCTCTGCTAAAGATGACCAGCCGTGTGGGAGGTGAGGGTACAACATGATATCCTCTTGTACTTGTTGTACCACCTCTTGCTGTGTGTGGCCCTCCGCCATGCCCGCCACGGCGCGAAGCACTTCACCAATTTGGGACTGTTCCGTCGTGCTGACCTTGTCGTTTGTGCGAAGGCCCTGGAGTTCCTCGACAACGGCTTCAAGACTACTTTCGTCCTGGTCTAGAAGGGCTATCACGCCCAGTGACAAAATACTTTGCACGTGGTCCGGCTGTCTTTCAATCACTTCAAATAAGACTTCACGAGCCTTGTCCCGGGACTTCTCGGTACCTTGTGCCCACAACACCTGTGCTAAAAGACATGTTGCATCCGGATTATTGTCCGATTCTTCAAGGGCCTCCTCGAAGTATGTTTCAGCTTCCTGGTGTTGTCCCAGGTAGTATTGTCCCAAGCCCACCGTCAGGTGTGATGAAAGTCGAGCCTTCTTCCGCTGCTCGCCAGTGAGCTCGCTATCAGCATCATCACTGCTTAAACCTAGGGCCATTTCGCCACACTCGACGGCCTTGGCGTACTCTCCTGCGGCAAGGTATGCTCTTGCGAGATCAGTTCGTGCCAATGTGAATCTTGCGAGACTTTCTCTGGACTCTGTTGCTTCATAGTCGGCCTCAATCACATCGCACAGCTTTTCCAGCGTCTTGACCGCACTGGCACTGTCCCGTGCTCGTTCGTTAAATAAGCATGACAAATGGCCCGAAGCAAGATCCTGTGGAAGCATACTTTGAATCTGGTTCAGTGCGAATAAGGGCTGGATAAGCGAAGCCACCGTCATGTTCGCAGGAGCTGTCAAGATATGATCGAAAAGAGAAGACGAGTAGTGCTTGCGAGTCGGTACCGAGGAAGCCTCTGCAATCTCCATGGCATGTGTAAATAACCCCCTGGCTTCCTTCACATCTCCATATAGGAGGGCTAGGAACGCCTGGCCGAGCCAAGCATGCGCATATTCAGGATCAGCAGACTGTCCCCGGGTGAAGGCTTCATCGGCCAGCTTAGTGTCTCCCGATAGAAGCGCGAGGACGCCAAGGTTCGTCCACCCAACGGGGCTGCGTTCATTCAAGTGCAAGCTTCTGACAAAAGCGTGTTGTGAGACAGCTGGGTTGATTTCGCTCGTGACAACGCCCAGAGCATTCCAGAAGTCTGCATTGCCACTTTCCAACTCGATAGCACGTTTCAAAGCCCTGACAGCGGCCTTGATATAGTTGCTAGGCTTCCTTCGCATCTGGGCAGGCAGGCAAGCGTGAGCACGGTATTCTGCCCAGCCCAGGTTATAATGAGCCACTGCTTGTGCGTGTACATCTCCAGAAGAAACGTGGATAGCTTCTTTGTAACATAGAATCGTGGCGTGAATACAGCGTGTCATGTCAACACCCAGCTGTTCATCCTTGGGATAGATACCCTTGGCATATACCACGTCAGTTCCGACCTTGTCGACATTGGCAAGCAGTTCAAAAGCTTCTTGGTAACTAGCCTCCAATAACTCCTTAATCTGACTTGCTGGGAAATCGACGACGCGGCTCTGTACAGACCCAAACACCGAAGCGGCATCAGCGATGCTCTTCCAGAAGTTGAACGTTTCCTTGACATCTGCAGGAGTTTTGCTTCCAAATTCGATGGTATCAGTTGCGAGCTGCACGGCTTTCCCAAAGAGTCCTTTTTCGACGCATGTCAATGCGTTATCAACCATCGTCTGCATGAGTGCAATAACAACACCTTGCTCTTCTGGATGAGTCTCTATAACAGTATTGTAGAGAGCTATCGACTCGTCATATTCGCCAAGCTCACGCTTGATGTTAGCAAGCATGTACTTCGTAAACCATGTATCGGCGGAGATACCGTCTCCTAGATGTTCTTCTAAACGCTGTGCATTCACAATGGCTTTGGTTGCAGCAATGTATCGGCCGGAGCTGTGATAGCTCTCACCTAATCCGACCCAGGAATGATAATCATTTGGAAACAGTCGTAGAGCGGCCTGAAAGGAGACGATGGCCTTGTGGAAGTCTTGCTTATTCAGTTCGGCAACTCCCATCGCGGCGAATGGCCAGCTGATCCCCTTCCTTTTAGAACCAGGCGGCGGCTTCACTATGCCCGAGTCGATGATTCTTTGGGCTACCAGTTCAACCCTCTCCCAATCTCCATCCTCGGCAAAAGATCTCGCCAGCCGCTCAGCAGAGACTACCTCGGCCGCTGAGAGCTCAAGGGCTTTCTGGAAGCACCGACGCGCTCTCTTCTTGTCTTTGGCGTAGTCGCTGTAGAATATGCCGAGGCTTGTGTACGCTGGAGCATGATTCATGTTGTTGTTCAACGCGCTCAACCAATATGCATACGCGCAGTCCCCTTTGCGCTGTTTTCGAGCTTGTCGACTCGTGTCCAAGTTCCAGATACAGCAGCCAATGCGATACTGAGTATCTGCCATCAATTCCTTGTAAAGAGCGATCTTTTCTTCCAAGATCGGTAAACACTCGGACAGCTCGTGTTTAGCAGTTTTCCAGTCTCCCTTCAGCGCCTTGACCCAAGCAGCCTCGGATTTGACTCGCAAATTAGAGGCGTCGCGTTTCAAAGCACGCTCCAAGAAGTCAATGGCTTGATCGTACTCCTTCTCTTCTTCAAAAATCAGGCCCACTCCAATGAGGGCAGAAGTTGAGGTTGAATCCCGTTCAAGAACTTTTTCAAAGAGCTCCTTGGCTTCTTGGTGATGCCTGGGGCTCTGGAAGTAAACCAGAGACGTCGCAAGGCACAAGGCATATGCGTCACCCGTGTTCTCATACGAAATCCCAACCCTGGCCCGCTCCTTGTCAAGAAATGCTCTAGCTTTCCTCATACACTCAACCGTGTTCTCGTACTCTCCCATCTGCAGGAAGTAAACTCCAACAAGCCTGTAGGCAAATACAGACTCACTACCAGTAATACCTTCTGAGATCATCATCAGACGGTCTTCGTCAGTTAACGGAACGTACGCGATAGGAACACCTCCATCTTCATCATCTTCGCTATCATCCGAAACGTTATTTAAGGACGCTCTAGTATTTTCTGCTGCTTTAGCTTCTGGGGGAAAGGGTGAAAAATTGCTTGTCAAGAAGGCTGTAATGACTTTGTACAGGTCGCTGTCTGGGAAAAAAGTGCAGTAATCTCGAAGCAGGCCGGCGTCCCAGTCCTTGATATCTTTACCATCCTGCCAGTCTATTGCAATATCCCACGCGAGTTTGAACGGATGTTTGATGGTTACCATGTCGTTTGCAAGACCGAAAACCTTGGCCTGCTCCTGTGTTTTTACAGGCCCGGCAGCGGTGACGAGTAATCTGTCATAGCAATATTGTAGGAGCTTCTCCTCAAAGTCTCGCCTGACTTCATCATTGCTTGTCCAGTTGATGAGCTGGCGGTAGATGGGTTCCAACTTGCTCTGTGCATAAACTTCCCTCTTGACCTCTACTTTCACCTCGCTGAGTCTCGCTCCTAATCTCGTACGGCGCTCGCCAACCAGGGTATTGATCCGTTTCTTTTCAAAATCCTCGAGTATGTGTGCAATGGTCTCATAAGTCTTTGCTGGCTGTGGAAATCGCCCTTCTAAAATGGGATACAGGGGACTTTCAGGGAGCTGGATCCAGAGAGCATCGGCATACTGCAGCTTGTCTCCGTTGACCCTGGCAAAGTCGACAAATTTGTCCACAACATCTTGGGCTTTGTACAGGTCCTCTGCTTCGTGAAAAATCTGTGCCAAGCTCACGACGGCAGCTTGATACTCCCCCAATCTCTGGTTTCCTTGCTTCTCGTACACCTTGATCAGTCCTTGGAATGCTTGGGCATCCTGAGGACGCAACTCTGTAGCTTTTTTGTAGAAATTTTCAGCTTCGACAAGCTGATTCTTTTTGTCCAGTGCAAAGGCCAGGAAAATAAGGCTTGGGCAGTTAATTCCCACCCCAAGAAACGGCAAAGGGTGCAGACTCACCCGTGATAGCTCTTTGGATCCTTCTTTATTAATTCCTTTGCCTTTTCAATGGCGCCGTCATAATCCTGGCCGCGGATAGCATCGTTTATGGCCTTCAATGTGGCCTTGGCGCCTGACATGGTTGTCGGTCCCGAGACAACTTATGCCCCGCGATATTATAGTACTGTGCCTTAAAAAAATGACACAAGTTCGGGTGGCAATGGCCAAGGTGTAGTCGGTTTTGAGAGGCAAACCTGGAAAATGTATTCATGACAGGAACATCTCCCCGACAATTTGTTTCAACAGGAGCGAATCGCAACTTGCCGGCGGCGGCTGCTGTACCAGTTCACACGCCAAGAAGCTGCCATCAATGAATAGTCGACTTCAACCTGGCTTATGTCATGACGACACAGAGCTGCTCGGCGAAAAGGACTCTTAGCCGAAGTTTCTCCGCTCACAAACCATAACCACAAACCACAACCAACACAACCAGGCATTTATTCACTGCTCCAAGCATCGCGAACCACGGACGCTTTTTGCCATGACCATGGAATTACTGCCTGTTGGCAACGCATCTACCCTTGCAGCGAGTTACGTAAAGAACGCAGGACAGTCCATTCTGCGAAATGCGCCTGTCTTACTGTTTACAAATTTGAACAGAGCACGCGACCAACCTGGAATTGGCTGCGCGGCGTGTTGAAGCCGGTCAGAGCTGAAAAGAAAAAAGAAAAAAAAGAAAAAAGCCCGGCCAACCTTGCATCGGACAATGCATTGTTTGTACTCCCACACCAGGCTACAGGATATGCCACATCCTACATATACGCGCTGACGCCGTTGGGGGGAGGGAATGCCAGACCTGTTATGAAGGGCAAACGCCGTCAGCATTTTTCAGCTACTATCGCCAGGTCTCCGAGCCGCGATATTGACCTTTGTAATGTGATGCTGTGATGCTGGGCGCCACACGAATGGCAACGAAAACACTCTGTTGTATTTCTCCGCTTGCTGTCTTATGTTAAATGAGGTTTCCAAGAGTGACTGGCCCCAAGACAATAGATGCCTATTGCCCATTGAAGCCTCAATGTGATGTCATTTTCCGATGTATGTAAGCCAACTTGTTCGTTTAATAGTCGGGGGCGACTAACAGGAGGATGTGAGCCAGGGGTTGCATGTCGCTACCAATAAGCAACAAATAACAATGCTGCCTATTGTCTGTTCTACCCCGGAAAAGCGCCACACCCTCCATGCTCTGTTCTCTCTCACCAATATGACCAACAAGATGAGACTTTGGAGAAGCGAAATAGTTCGTCTGTTCATGCATGGTAATACGTACCACCCGCGTGGATGGCTGGTCCGGGACGACCCTCCAGACCCGTTTGCCACTCCCGAGGTTGGGCATCCTGACGTCGCTGTGCCTAAGAGTGAGGCTGAATATGCTCTTGGCAAGGACACATACATATAACCCTTTAATAGTTTGCTTCTGTGCTGTAATTAGACACACACATGTGTGGCAGTATGACACAACAAGGCATCTTACCAGACGCCCTGGCATTCTCACGCACTTGAAGTGTGGCGGCGCTCGAGCGCCTTGCCATCGTTTCTCACATAAGAGGCAAGAATCAACGCTATCTCATATTTCACACATTTGTAGCCCCGAGTTTCCTTCGGTTGTAAACTTGAACAAGTCCGTCCTTCCTCTCGTCCTTCTTCCGCTCTCTGCCTGTTGGCTTCCGCCGCTGCCCGATCTGTGCATGAAAGAGAATGATGTTGCAACGGTGCAGCTGAAGCTCGCATAGAGTCTACAACATGACGACGCCGTTAACTCATCCGGCTTATTCGAACAATTACCGTGATCGGACTTTTGCCATTGCAAAAACCAGAAGCGCCAATGACAGGGCCGTTATCGAGAATCCCCTCGGTAAGTCACACTTGCTCCGCCCATTATTCCTCGCTCTGTGCTCTTTCCTACCCTAGTCCAAGGAACTGATCATATAAAGCCCATTTCACGGACGCCGAGTTGGAATTGGATGTCCGAAACTTTGCAGAGACCTTTCTCCCTTCCGTGAGATACCAAGAGTTGCTGCGGGCCGCCAGAGTCGGAAAGGACATTCAGATATATGATGAGGCGGCCCGACAACCTGCCGGCTTCGAAGAACGAAATAGACTTGCCGTGATTTTGACAGAAGAAGAGAAGATAGCGCTCAGAAATGAAAAGGACGTTGCATTCAGCGAGAAAGGAATGCTGGCCGTTATCGCCACGGTTTCGCTGGCAGCATTTCTGCAAGGTCGGTCCGAATCGTTGCCGACAAAGGCTGAAAAGAGCCAACTCCAGTAGCAGCTGCTGACTGTCACGCGAAACAGGTTTTGTACAGTCGTCAGTCAACGGGGCTTCATTATATATGAATCAATGGGGTCTGAATCCGAGTAATGAGACCTCACACCAGATTACCCCCGACAACTGGAAGCTTGGTGCCGCAAACGCCTCGCCATTCTTCTTTGCTGCGTTGGTAGGATGTCCGCTTTCTCTACCAATCAACTACTGGTTCGGAAGAAAAGGAGGCATTAGTGTTGCGGCAATCTTGATTTTTGCCAGCTCCATCGGCGCCATCTTTGTTACTTCTTGGACGCAAATGTTTGGTGTTCGTGTCATTAATGGCATTGGTAAGCCAATCTGTTGTCCCTCAACACCGAAACGACTGCGAAACAAAATCTGACATGACACTTAGGTATGGGCATCAAGGCAGTTAGCACCCCTATTCTGGCCAGTGAAACTGCAGTCGGATTTTGGCGTGGTTCTGCCATTCTCGCTTGGCAGCTCTGGTATGTCGATGGTGTCATCTTATACCACCCCGCGAATATTTTAAGCTGATAGGGGCAATAGGGTTGCTTTCGGCATCATGATGAGCTTTGTGTTCAACTTGATCTTCACGCAAGCGGCGAATCCGACTACCACTTTTCGTCTCATCCAAGGCGCTCCTTTGGTTCCCGCATTCGCTCTTTTGACAATGGCACTGTTTGTTTGTCCGGAGTCACCTCGCTTCCACTTGCTGAAGGGCCCTAACTATAGTGTTGAGAAAGCATACACGGTGTTGAAGAGAGTCCGAAACACCAAGGTAGGCAGGCACACTTGACTGAAACTGTATATGGCAAAGATGCCCGCTAATGAATGTCTGTGCTGATCTATTAGTTGCAAGCACTAAGGGACCTGTACCTTGTCTCCAAATCAATCGAGCAAGAGAACATGGACTCTGGCGACCTCGACCCTCAAGCAATGATGTCGCCGGGCTTCTTCTGGGTCATCCGTGATTTTGCAAGACAGTTTGTCCAGCTGTTTCAACGTCGCCGCTTGTATAATGCCGTCCTTTCGACATCGACGGTTAATCTTGCACAGCAGCTTTGTGGAGGCGAGTCCAACTATCTAGTGATTACCTGAAGCAGGAGGAGCTGACCACACTTATTCTCTCTGTAGTAAATGTTTGTGCCTTCTATTCAGGTACGCTTTTGTTTCCTCACCATGATGTATAAAATGACATGCTTACATGTGTGCAGGAATCGTCTTCCAACAAGCAGGCAGATCAGAAAGCAACGTCATCACAAATATGGCATACAGTCTCGGGTTTGGTAGGAAAACTCCACCGGAACAAGTGTCTCGACTAATCTAACCTTTTCTCTACTCCCAGGGGCAATTAATTTCGTATTTGCTCTGCCAGCGGTAAAGAGCATTGACACATTGGGCCGAAGGAGATGGTTGCTGCTGACACTCCCCTTCATGGCGGTGTTTATGCTAGGGGCCGGACTCTCTGAAAATGTCCGAGATGATGCAACTCGCAATGGAGTGACGGCCTGCTTTCTGTTCCGTGAGTATTTGGTGCCATGTGCCCACGATGGAGGAATCTCACTAACGCAAGAACAGTCTTTGCAGTAGCATACTCACCCGGCCTCGGGCCAATTCCTTTTACCCTAGCCTCTGAGAGTTTCCCTTTGACACATCGAGAAGCAGTAAGTCGCCATGGCTTGGCTCTTAGGCTCGGGGCCTATATCATTGCAAACAGATGCTTATCGAACAAAAAACAGGGCACAGCGTGGGCGATTTCCATCAACCTATTGTTTGCCGGATTATTGGCCGTCTGCTTCCCGGGGTATGTCCTCAGTGTGCATCAATCGTACTGTCTAGTTATTCATTGCTGACACGCTCGGCAGCATCAACTCTGCTCTTGGCCAGAAGGGGTCCATGGGGATCTTTGCTGGGCTCAACATTGTAGCCTATGTCATGGTTTTCCTGTTTGTGGAGGAGACCAAGCAACGCAGTCTGGAAGAGCTGGACCACATCTTTGCCGTCTCGAAGCGAGAGTTTATGCACTTCAAAGTCACGAGGTACCTGCCGTGGGTAATTGGAAAATACGTTTTCCGCCTCGAAAGGGACGAGCCAAAGCTGTACAGAGACATGGTTTGGGGCTCTCGACCAGTCGGCCTGAAGCAAACACGCATCGAACCCTTGGGAGAAGCCCGGATTGAGTTGCGGCCAAGACGTCCGACTGTCTTCCAAACCCCCAAGTTTTCGGATACAACTAGACCGAATATGGCGGAAATGGAAGAAATATACCCCCCAGGGGTAGCTGTGCCTTATGCGAGGGAATACCAGGACGGCCAGACTCCTCGTCAGGGGACCAGGCGCAACGACTCTAGATTTCAGTGATGGGTGAGTAGACACAGGCCGGGGGTAAGTGGCGAAAGCGGTTCAAATTGCAATGTAAGAAAGAGGAGAAGCAGGCGTATTAATACCACTGTATCATGTATCTTGGTGTTTCAATGTAGAATGTATGTGCCCACCACGGTAGATTGGCTGGAGAGGTGTGATGGGTCATGGTCCATGGACAAAGTACGAATACGGATACGAATAGAGGCAATGCAGCGTCATGTCGGGTTGCCCCATTGTCGGTGCCGATCACGATGTTGAACTGCTGAGACAGCGTTGAAGGGAGGCGTCGCAGAAGCGTCGCAGAAGCATGGCACAGGCACAAGAGGGTTGCGAGTGTCGGGTTAACGTTGGACATGAGCGAAATGCGCAGCTGATGGCCGCGCGTGTACATAAACAGTTTCCATTTAAGTACGTCACGACGAGGAGCGGAGTGTGGAGTGTGGCGTCGCGTGACGGACCGTCAATATGCAGGAAGCGGGAGAGGGACCATGTCAAATAGCAGTTGACGTCGGCAACGACAAATGGGATGCAACATATATTAACTTCAATGTTGTGAATGTTGATGCTCTGCACTCGGGCAGGCAGGCCCGGTTTTGACGTCTCAGTGCTCATACTGGGGTCTGGTGGCTTTCATCGCCTGGCTGGTCTTTGCTGATCATTGTTGTCCAAGCACCGCCTACTCGGGCGCCGGCCCAGCCAAGGCCGATTGACCGCTTGAGACGGGTGTCGCTGCACCCACCAGGTTAACTTTGGGAGGAACCAAGGCGTTTCTTGGTTCGTACGGTGCTCAAATACCGAGACAATTTAGTTCTTTGATCGCTTGCATCGTCATAGCTCGTGGCAGCGGCACATCCAGCTGGCAAGATTGACGGCCTGGCCCGGTGACGTCTGGGCACCAACCGCCTTTGTCCACCGTCTCGATCTTCTCCGTCGCTTTCTCCAATTTGCTCTCTTCCTCATCATCGACCACTCCACTCGCAAGACGACATGGCTTCCTTCCGGCTGACGATCGAGGATGGCCAGTTCCGAGACGCTCACGGCCGACAGGTTGTACTACGCGGAATCAATGTCGCTGGCGACGCAAAACTCCCCTCCGAGCCCGATCAACCGTCCCACATTGCCCATGACTTCTTCGACGGCGACAACGTCACATTCCACGAGCGGCCCTTTAGTAGAGGGGAAGCCGCTACGCACTTTGCCAGGATAAAACGCTACGGCTTCAATACGATCCGCTACCTCTTTACTTGGGAGGCAATCGAAGCCGCAGGTCCCGGCATCTATGACGAGCAATTCATCCAGCATACCATCGACGTGTTGAGGATAGCAAAGTCCTATGGCTTCTACGTCTTTATGGACCCTCACCAAGATGTTTGGTCACGATTCACCGGCGGTTCGGGGGCTCCAATGTGGACGTTGTACGCCTGCGGTCTCAACCCCCAGAGCTTCGCCGCCACCGAAGCCGCCATTGTTCAGAATACGTACCCCGATCCGGATACCTTCCCGAAAATGATTTGGTCAACCAACTACCACAGGCTCGCGGCAGGCACCATGTTTACTCTGTTCTTTGCCGGCAAAGACTTCGCGCCAAACTGCATCATAAACGGCGTCAACATCCAGGACTATTTGCAGGGCCATTTCGTCAATGCCTGCGCACACTTGGCAAAGCGGATACATGAAGCGGGCGATCTGGAAAATGAGGTTGTCATGGGCTGGGAGAGCATGAATGAGCCCAACAGAGGCATGACGGGTTATGTTGACTTGACAGTCATCCCGAAGGACAGCCCCCTGAAGAAAGGCACCTGCCCGACCATGTGGCAAACTTTCCTGACGGGTATGGGCAGGGCCTGCGAGATTGATACCTGGGATATGGGAGGCCTGGGGCCTTACAAGACAGGCACGACGTTGGTGGATCCTCATGGCGAGATTGCCTGGTTACCAGAAGGATATGACGATTCCAAGTATGGGTGGAAGCGTCACCCTGGCTGGAAACTCGGCGAGTGTCTGTGGGCGCAGCATGGCGTTTGGGATATAGCAACCGACACAATGCTGAAGAAGGACTACTTTGCCAAGAACCCCAGAACCGGCAAGGCTATCGATTACCCCGAGTTTACAAATACCTACTTTATGGACTTTTGGAGAAAGTACAGCAAGGCGTGCAGAGCTCATCATAGAGATTGCCTTATGCTTATGCAATATCCTACACTAGAACTGCCTCCCGAAATCAAGGGAACCGACGATGACGACCCATTGATGGCTTTCACGCCACACTTTTACGACGGTATCACACTGATGACCAAGCACTGGAACAGTACGTGGAATGTCGACGTTGTTGGTGTGCTTCGTGGCAAGTATTGGCATCCCGCATTTGCCATCAAAATCGGCGAGACGGCCATCCGAAACTGCCTCAAAGACCAGCTAGCAACCTTGCGGCAGGAGGGGCTGGACAGAACAGGCAATCATCCATGCCTGTTGACCGAATTCGGTATACCATATGACATGGACGACAAGAAGGCTTACAAGACGGGAGACTACTCTAGCCAGTCAGCCGCATTGGATGCCAACTATTTTGGCGTGGAAGGCTCTCAGATCGAAGGCCACTGCCTCTGGGTATACACTGTTATCAACGATCACGAACGCGGCGACCAGTGGAACGGAGAAGACTTGTCCATCCACTCCGTAGACGACAAACTGCCGCCACTTTCTCCAGTCCCCAGGAGCGCAGTGGCCGGTCAGTCTGCAACAAGCCTGCTAAAACTGTCGACGACGAACAATAGAGACGGCAGCGGCGATGACGAGAGTGTCACTCCTGGAAACCTTCAGCGCACGCTCACAACGCCGTCGATAAGCTCCAGCCGATTAGCAAAGGATCCCGAGTTGACTAACGCTCCCGGATACCGAGCCGCAGAGGCCTTCATTCGACCGACTGCAACAGTTGTTGCAGGCAATGTGCTCTCTACGGGATTCGATCTCCGCAAGTGCACGTACACGCTCAAGATTTCAGCGCCAAAGCCTGCCAGCGACGAGGCGCCCACAGTGGTCTTCCTTCCCGAGTACCACTTCCCCAAGGATCAGTGCGAAGTAGCCGTATCTGCCGGCAAATGGGAGTTGAGTTCTGATGACAGCGAAGGCCCCGTGCTCCAACGCCTGAAGTGGTGGCATCCTGAAGGAGAACAAACCCTTGATGTTCAGGGTATTGTGAGAAAACATAATGTTCCGGAGGGGTCCGCAGAAGAGGCTGGGTACCTGGAACAGTGCCAACAAGGCTATGGCTTCAATTTCGGCAACTGCACAGTAATGTGAAGCGCTGAAAGATTAAGAGGGTGATCAAGATGGGGTAAAGCTGTTTCTTCCATTCAACCTTCCCCTATCTCCCCTTTTTTTTTTCTCTCCTTTTTTCTGTTTTAGTTCTTGCCATATTTCCAATAGCATAGTTTTAGTTGCACCTGGCAGATTCGGGTAGCAAGTTTTGGTCAAGTTTACGATAGAGTACACGGCTAGCGTGGCCAATTTAACACATATAACTATACAAGTATGTACCTAGAAAACCCGAGGGGTTTCTGCAAGGGGAGGCATGCACATCAACTATTACAGGTTTATTGTTCCGACACAGCCCAAGCCCAAAACTACTACTACTACTATTCCGGTATGGAGTGTTGGGCGTCCAAGCAGCCGTGTGCCAAATGCGGCCATCCTTGCCATTCGGGTCTCTCAAACAAACAAGCGCTCCTCATTCGTCCGCGTTACCCGCACTCACCATTGACCGTCCCACCACCTCCCACGCGGCTAAGCGCCCAGCTGGGCGGGGAAACGAGCAGCCAGAGCTCGAGCATTGCTGCTCGGCTGCGGGCATGAGGCCACGGTCTCCCAGAATAGAAGCCGTGGCTGCAGTGCAAGCAAGCTGACAAGCTCGCGATGCCAAGCTGGCGCAGAGTCTAGGTCCTCGGTCGACGGATGCGCGGCTGGTGCAGTGTGACACTGCGCGGGAGTTGGGACGGCACATCTGCGAGGCTAGTGCCGTTGGAGAAGCAGCATGGAAGGAGTAAGAGTGTGGTGCCTATATCTGCACGTATGTCTGGTTCGATGCGATGATGGACGTTTGACACTCGACGTTGGCCGTTGAAAGGCGTCGGCACCGTCTGCCGGTGGTCGTGCGTTCCCGGCGGGCTTGTTGGGGCAATTTAATTTCCATGGCGGACAAGGAACAAAAAGCTGCCAGTCTGGTATCAATTGATTGATGCTTGACAAGACTGCACGAGCCCACCAGACTGGTCCCAGGTGCCACTCTGGAGGCAGAGCTTGCCCGGGTAAAGTAGCCACATGTGCAGGTATCTTGCTCGGGGCTCCGTAGTTGGTCCTTCATCAATGCTTCAATGTCCGAAATACAAGACGAGACCAGTTGACATCTGGCCGCATTGCTACGTGACATCGAGTCGCCAAGCAAGCAACCACGGCATCGCGCGCCGAACAGCCTCGGGGACAGCTTTGCGACACTGCGGTGCCCCGGCCGGCTAGATTTTATCTTGATTGATCAAATTGACATTGACACTTCACCTTGTGGGCTGGGTAGTACTACTTCCATGTCCATGTCCATGTCTCCAGGCAGGCCCGTCCGCCCGTTTGGCCCTACCAGGCCCTCAAGTACTACCAGGCCCATCGGGCCCTAGGCGCCCCGTAAGCTCGTGGGCCGCAACCAGACTGCACCAGTTGAAGTTCAATGTTGACATGTGGGCATCTTGGTCCTCCATGTCCATGCTGTGTCGTCACCTCCAAAAGCTCTTGCCGTCCCAGCGTCCCCCCGTCAGCGGCTCTGCCATAACAGTCAAACCACCCACCGCTTCATCGGCAGCTTGCACACCATGCGCGAGCTCTTCTCCCCTCGAAACATTGCCGTCGATACCCTCGATACCCTCGACACGCCCCTCGTCAACATCATTGTCGCACCCTGCGGCGAAGCCAAAACGCCTGGCCGGGGCTCGGCAAAAGAGGTCCCGTTGAGCACCAAGAGCTTGCCGCAGCATCCTGGTCCGCCTGTGCTTTTTTGCATTGCAAAACGTTGAACTGAACCACGTCAACGCCCGCCGCGGCGGTTGTGCCTCTTGTGAATGTTTCGGATTTCGTTGTTTTGATATTTTTTATTTTTATTTGTCTTTATTTTTCTCCAGTAGCTTTTACCTTGGTCTTCTCGCCAGCGGCGTCACATTGGACAGCTGCCACACACACAACCAGCTCGTCTCTTGTCGCTCCTGGCGGGTTGTTGCCCGCCTTTCGTCTTTGCCCATCATGTATCAAGGCGGCCAAAGACATGTCTCAGGCAATGATCCTGCTCGCGCATTTCAACTGCCTCCTCCTCCGCCAATGTCACCGCCCATGGCCGGCGGTCCCTCCATGAGCACAATGATGAATATCCCGCCGCCGCCGCCGAGATATCCTGGCGCGCCGCCGGGAGCCGTCAACGGCATCATGATTCCTCCTCCGCCAGGACCGCCGCCGAACAGCACTCTGGGGCCCCAGCAATCATGGCACGGGAATTACGGGAAGCTGTACGATGGCCGAACGCCCGTGGGCATTCCGCCGCCTCCCCCTACCGGGCACCAGCATCTACCGTACAATCCCAAGTTCCATGCCCAAATGGCCGCCGGACAGACGATTGCCATGCCCCCGCCTCCGCGGCCAAGCGACGGCATGGCCATGGGCGCGACATATATACCCTCGAGAGGAACATACGGCGAAGGTGTAGGGATCCCTGGGTTTGACCCCAACGAGTTGGCGAGCACGTCCGGCTCATACATGCCGGCCTCAATGAACACCATGGACACCACTCACACAGGCCCCATGGACGACCCCAACTCCCGAGATCGCTTCTATCAGTCGAGGAATCCTTCAAACGCCTCCACTGCCACGGCTGGCAGCACAATACCGCCCGAGTTGGCAGCCCAGTGGCCGCTTGATACCGTGCTGATTTGGTTGGCGCAAAACCAGTTCTCCAAGGACTGGCAGGAGACTTTCAGAAGCCTGAATCTTTATGGGGCGCAGTTTCTGGATCTGGGCAGTCTGCACGGCGGTCGTGGAAATTTCGGCATGATGCACCAAAAGGTCTATCCGCGTTTGCTTCAGGAATGTTCCAGCAGCGGTACAGGCTGGGACCAGAGTCGGGAGCGCGACGAAGGAAAGCGCATGCGTCGGCTTATTCGAAGCATCGTCACCGGAAAGCCAGTCGACCCATCAAAGATGGTGAGCCCCCATCACCGGGCAAACTCAGTTGCTTCACACGGCCACAATGGCAGTGCTGGCTTGGAACCAGTCGATTCGCCCAACGTGAGTATTTCGGCCAAAATCATTTCAAGTTTTGAAAAGCTGTGTCTATGGGAGTCTAATGCCTGTTTCAGACGCCTTCGGGCTCTACTGGGAGCGTCAATTTCGCGGGTCAGCGATTCTCCCAAACCCGATCCACGACAATGCCTACCCTCGGCAGCGGCACCATGAATTCCGATTCAAGCCATCGCTCAGCTCTCAAATATATAGACTCTGAAGGAGGCCGCAAGTTAAGCCCCATAACAAACGAGAATGCTGAAGGCGGGACGTTTCGTGGCACCACGGATAGCCCAGGAGGCAGTCCTGTTCCTCAACAAGTCCTCTTTCCATCGGCAACGACGCCCGTACTTTCGCCATCGCCAGCTTCCGCCAAACTTGGCCATCGCTCTCGTAACAGTACGGATTCGGTCACCTCAAACGCCGCCATATATGGCTCCGGCGTCCCTGCTGATGCTGCTGCGATTCTCAGTCGCGGCCTCAATCTAGCAGAAGCCATGTCGGCCTCGCGAAGCCAAGACCGATCCCAATACTCACCACTCAACTCTGGTGATAGGTCAGCCGGGGGAGATACCTCGGCATCCGGAAGGGATTCAAAGAGCTTTCTGAGCTTTTTGTCAAGGAAAAAGAGACAAAGGGAGGATGGCTCCTTTCCTTCACCCGATGAGTTCGACTCTCCCGAGTCGCCCATGTGTGTTCCCAAATCTCTTGCCGACGTGTATACCTCGTTGAATGGGAGTGATTCTCAACTTGATCGTCTAGGCTCTGCCTTTGTTGGAACTCACGAGAAAGACCAGGTTGCGATGTTGGAAAGATTGAACCGGAGCGGTGGCGTAAGAACGTTCGTGCTGGCTACCACAGACTATTGGAACTACCGCATGTGCGACATCACAGAAGCAGAATCGGCCACTGCGATCCGTCAGACTATCTGTGGAAGCCTGGGTCTAACAGGATTCGAACAGTATTCCATTTTTGCGACGGAACTCGGGAAATCCGATCACGCTGAACCTCTCGATGACCAACAGCTCCTCACTGACAAGCGAGTGAAGGGCGACTCCACTGGAGCCTTGAAATTCTTTATATCACCTGCAAAGATATCCTCCGCCACCACTCCAAACTCAGTTCCCGCATCCCTGTTCCCGGGCTACATACCTCCCGGCATGGATGAAGAGTCGTACAACCGTAGCAGGCAACGATCAAGCTCGTCACCACCATCTTCCAGAGCGAATACGATCGGGGACAGGATTGACGAGAAGACGTTGGCTCAAGAAGCCAGCGATTATAGGGCAGAAATCGAGAGGAAACAGCGAGCATATCTTGCTAAGAGGAAGGAGGCAAATAAGAAGGAAAGCCCGACGGCTCCAGACTATGTGCCGTCCAGTAGCATCAAGGGCCGCAACGTCGATTTTGATCAACCTCGCCCATCACCATTCGAGGATAAGAAACCTGATCAGCTATTCCCCCAAAGACGACCACCAGCACCACCTAGCGATCCATCTGCGACTCTGATCAAGGCCAATTCATTGAGCAGGAAACCAGGCCACAACTTGAGGAACTCGAGTGGCAGCATGGACGGGTTTCCATCTCCTAGACATCCACCTTTAGCGGCTAGTGGCGACGGTGAGAGTACAGACGGCCAGCGAAGGTCGAAATACGCAGCGCAACCCGCACCCGCGAGTGGTGGCATCGGGGCTGCTCTCGTTGGCATGGGCCGGAATTTGGGTGCTATAGGCCAATCCACCGCCAACGGCCCAAAGGCCACTTCTCCGGGCCGCATCATATCGCCACCATACTCATCAGCGGGTAGTGGCAACGCTCAGCAGCAGTCAGGTAAGACGGCTTTGTCCAGCGTGAACTATGCTTCAACAAGCAACCGTGGGAGAGGCAGTCCAAAGCCAGCAAACGGATCCCCTGGCTCCGTGACGTGGAGTCCAGGTAATCTTTCGTTTGTTGTGCCAGACTACTCACCCGGCGGCACCCCCGCGCTAGTTGCTGCAAGAGTACCCTCTGGTTCAAGTGCTAAGAACACTGAAGCAGTGCCGAGGCCTGTGTCACCGGGCGACGTTAGTCCTAGCTCTTCTCATTCTAAGAGTAGGGGCTCTGCCGACGTTTTCCCCTCGAAGCGAAAGTCGCATGGGCCGGATTTGGACTTCAAGGAGTCCGACATCCAGTTCTCAAATTCACCATCCTCCCAGCCGCCTACTCGAGACATCAAGCCTCCACCTGGCGACGATAGCGACGACGACTCTAGCGATGACGGCCTCTTTGCTATTCCTCTAGCCGGCAGGAAGAAGGATAAGCCGAGTAGCGACACCGGTACAAACGCTTCATCGAGTGCCCAAATGGGTACAGATACTCGCCCCGTTCTGCATGTAGTTACTTCACGCAAAGAGAAGGGACGATCTGTTACTTTTATGAAATCTCCTGATAGCTTTGACAGTAGCAATGATGGTGGTGCAAGAACATCTAGCACGAGAAGAACTCCCGGTACGCCACAGACTGATACGTGGGATTCTGACAAGGAGAGCCAAATCAACCGTCGAAAATCGTTTATTGAGAAGGACGTGTGGGCAAATCGTCCACCAACCGACGACTTGCTGAACAACTTGGATGATTTCTTCCCCAATCTCGATCTAGACCAGCCCGTCCTTGAAGATCATGCAGGCGGGGATATCCCTCCACTACCATCAACGGACTTTGGCGATGGCAGGAATAGGTCCAGTTCTGCCAGTCTTGCGTCCATGACAACACCCGGTCATTCCACATCAGGAGCTCCCCCCGTGGCAGTGCCGCCGTCACGCCAGCTCTCATTATATACCAATGACAATGACACTTTGGGCTCTGACGAGTCAACTTTGAAGGCTACGGAGCGACCTACATCTAGTCACGCGGTGGCTCATCGCAGCATACATCGGTCTGGTGGGTTGGGCCGGATGAAATCTATTCGTGAAGTTGCTAGTCAAGCCAACAAGCGGTACACAAGTATTTCGCAACCTATGGGTAGCAAGTCGCAGACAAATTTGATGCGACGTAAGAGCACCAAGATGTTCAACGCAAACATTGTGCAGATCCGGCCCGATCAACGGGGAAGCATGGTAGTGCCGGATATTCCTCAGAATACACTGCCCAAGCGACAGACTACGTTTAGATGGTTCAAAGGCCAACTCATCGGCAAAGGTACCTATGGCCGTGTCTACCTCGGTATGAACGCCACTACGGGTGAGTTCTTGGCAGTGAAGGAGGTTGAAGTAAACCCCAAAGCTGCTGGAGGAGACAAGGGCAAGATGCGAGAAATGGTAGCTGCGTTGGACCAGGAGATCGACACCATGCAGCACTTGGATCACGTAAACATTGTGCAGTACCTGGGATGCGAGCGAAAGGAGACCAGCATCAGTATTTTCCTGGAGTACATTTCTGGCGGCAGCATTGGATCTTGCTTGAGGAAGCACGGCAAATTTGAAGAGTCTGTGGTCTCGTCACTGACTCGTCAGACCCTTTCTGGGTTGGCGTACTTGCATCGCGAGGGTATTCTGCACAGAGATCTAAAGGCCGACAATATTCTGCTTGATCTGGATGGTACTTGCAAGATTAGCGACTTTGGTATTTCCAAGAAGACTGACAACATTTACGGCAACGATAAAACAAATTCGATGCAAGGCTCAGTGTTCTGGATGGCGCCAGAGGTCATCCGGTCGCAAGGAGAGGGCTACAGCGCCAAAGTCGACATTTGGAGTCTCGGGTGCGTGGTACTGGAAATGTTTGCCGGACGAAGACCCTGGAGCAAGGAAGAAGCGGTTGGGGCCATCTACAAGATTGCAAACGGAGAGACGCCACCTATTCCAGAGGACATTCAAGAGACCATTCCGCCACTGGCTGTGGCGTTTATGATGGACTGCTTCCAAGTGTAAGTAGTTTCACACCAATGTTTCTTCTTTGGTTTTCATATTTCTTTCTTTTCCCCTCCTCCATATTCAAAGGTTAGTTACTAATTATTTGTTTAGGAATCCGTTTGATCGTCCAACAGCCGACGTCATTCTATCGCAACACCCATTCTGCGAGCTGGACCCCAACTACAACTTTTACGACACAGAGCTGTACACCAAGATTAAGGATGCATACAAGATCTCGTAGTGCAGCCGCGACTGGCTTTGCTAGCTCACGTTTTTGCTTCACTTGTTTGTCTTTTTTTTTTCCCGCGGCAGAGTTGTGGTTTTCTTGAATGGGTACCAAAGGAGTCTACTTGTACGAGATTTGAGGTAACGCGGCGCCATGTGCGGACAAATATGTGCGAAATTAGCTTCAAATGATGGACCTGGCGTCAGGAAACGGTGTTGGCGTTGGTGTTGGATACAACGGGATACGACGATATGACATAGGAATACTAATATTCATAATGATTTTTAGCCTTACGCTGCAAGACTATAATTCAGGGCCTTATCGAGTTTCTTGAATGTGACATGTCCGAAGGGTACTATGTGCATAGTGTGTGTGTAGAATAGGCACACACGGTCAGACTGTGTCTCGACCTCAAACGGCGACAGGCCCGAAACAGTGCAAAGGACAGTGAGCCGCAATAAGGAACCAGCCAAGCGTTTCAGATAGCACGGCAATGATACATACATGAGAACTTGTCCGCATGACGACATGCCTACCAGGACGGGGCACGAGGGGGGGGAGGTAAAATAATGAATGACACGACGATGCGAGTCGCACGACTTTCCACCGACTGCGTCTAAGCCCCTTTTGTGGACAGGGCTGGGGAGCCAAAACGGTGGCATCTTGGGGCGCTTGGTATTGAGTCTTTGACCGGTAGTGACATGGAGCTAGTAAGGCGACATGGACTGCCTGGGTATGAGTTGCTAATTGCCGATGCGCCCTCTGTCGGCCGCATTTGAAGCCATGTGGCGTCGATGGGGCTCGGTAAGAGTCAAGGCTGGGGGGCTTGGCGTCGGGTCTTGCAGTGTAAAACGGGTAAGAATTGGGATGGTTGATTATCTGCGGGGGCCAGGAGCGAGTTGACCGCATGTGCAGATCAGGGATCCGGCATTATGTACTTGGTATGTGGTGATGTTTTTCTTGGCTGGTGGGCTTATTGTCCGTTGCTCGTTGTCGATAGTACATACCTTTGAGAGTCAAAAAGTGAGGCGGTTCCTGCCTACCTATAGGTCGTGACTATCTAGGTACTTAGAGGTAGTCGCTATGGCCGAATAGATGTATTGATGGAATATCTGCTAGGCAAGTATGGGTGATGGATGAGGGGACCTGGAGCAAGGCACTCACACGCACACGCACACTCACACTCGACTCGATTAACAACCTGGTACAAATTAGCAGGTGCTCGAGCGCGCTTGCTCGCATAAAGTTGCACATGTGGCATTTAATCAGAAACGCAATACTCCGTACTCCCAAGGCAATGGTTTGGTCTGGCTGGCATCTGGGTCCTTGGCGGTCTCCACTCCCCGCCCCGGAATGTGGAAAGAGGCACTCCCCAGCCAAAAGTCTGCATATTTTTTCATAGTACTCTCAATTCCCTGAACAGCACCAGAGCCCTGCTTGTTATAGGGTCCGCAGTAGCCTTGATAGCAATAGACATCTTGACAGCTCTCATTAAATGACTAAAAGTTTGAAAATATCGCGATATATGTAGATTTGTCCGGCGATAAACCCGGCTGGAAACCCTACTAGCGATTTTAAATTGTAGCGGTAGAAGCCACACACAAAGTAAGTACTACCTACCTATGTAGGTACTTAACGATACCGATTTGGACTAGTGCCGCTAAGAATTTAAGAATTAACCGCGTTGAGGGGTTCACCCAGTTGCCAAATATAAAGGACGGCCTCGCCTGGGTAACCCGTAACCCTTGACGGCCATCTTCGCGATAACATTCGACTCTTTGTCGCCGAATGACTAGCCCTCGCAGTCGTTTCAATGCCGCGACGACGATATAGACTGTTCACGGTCTTTTCCGTAGTCATTGTTATTTTATTATATCGTGTTCTACAGAATTCCTGGGATCCGCAACCACTGAGGCCGGCCGTGGTGGGACGACCCCAACCACCGCCACCACCCAGCGTGCCTGATGCCGTTGTTGCAGCGCATGTCAAAACACAGTTTCCGCTGAAGGATACCGGGGAGAGCAAGCCCGAGACTGGTCACGTTGCCCAAGAGGCAGCCGATGAGGACTCTATCGGTGCTGAGAAGCTCGTGGAGAAAAACAAGAATGAGAATGCCGAGAAAGGTGCGGGGACCAAGGGGCCTTCGTCCAAGGCCGAGGATGCCCAACTCAAGCGGCCCAGCAGCAACAACATGCCACAAGTAGATTCAGATTCAACCTTGAAACCCGGTACCAAGCCCGTGCAAGAACAAGATGAACACGGTCACTTGCAAAGGCCCCTTGGCCACGGTACGGACGACCAGACAACAACAGCCACTACCACGAGCAACCAATTTGCCAAACCCACCAAAGTGCACTGGACAAAGCCCAAGGAGCACTTTCCACTACCCAAGGAGAGCATCATTACTCTGCCCACCGGCAATGCAAAGAAGATTCCCCGGATTCAACATGTGTTTTCGCCCGAAGCTGAAGGCCCCAAGAAAAAGCGCCTGCAGAGGCAGGCAAAGGTCAGGGAGCAAATCCAGCGGTCTTGGGCGGGATACAGAAAGTATGCGTGGATGCACGATGAGCTGTTGCCCGTCTCCAACCAATCCCGCGATCCGTTTTGCGGATGGTCGGCGACATTGGTTGACTCGCTCGACACCCTGTGGATTGCTGGCTTGAAGGATGAGTTTGACGAGGCCGCCAAGGCCGCCAAAAATATCGATTTCACTTATTCAAACAAGGACAGAATCCCTGTTTTTGAAACAACCATTCGATACTTGGGCGGCCTCATAGCGGCCTATGATGTGAGCGGTGGTGCGTCGGGGGGCTATTCTTTCTTGCTAGACAAGGCCGTCGAATTGGCTGAGGTCTTGATGGGGATATTCGACACTCCAAATAGAATGCCTCTACTATACTACAACTGGCGACCCGAGTATACCTCACAACCTCGCCGAGCCACCAGCGCAGGTATGGCCGAACTAGCAACACTGTCCATGGAATTCACCCGATTAGCCCAGTTGACGGCGCAGCACAAGTACTATGATGCCATCGATCGCATCACCAATGGCCTGATAGAACTCCAAAAGAGAGGCACAACAATCCCTGGACTCTTTCCTGAAAATTTGGACATTTCCGGTTGCAATAGGACTGCCACAAACCGCCGCGATGCCATGAGCGAAGCAGCCAAGGCTCAAGTTGATTCAGAAGTAGTTTTGAAGCCTCCCCAAGGATTCAGCGAAGACGGGGCTGATAAAGAGTCTACTGGTACTAGTGACAGAACCAAGCTCGACGATCGACTTGAACGCCGAGCGCTGTCATCTCTTCAACAGGATGTTGACGCAGCGCTATCTGCTGATAAAGCACCTACTGCGAACAATGCAAACAATGCAAAGCCCCAGCCAAAGTCGCAAGTCCCTCTTGGAGCAGATGGAAGCAAGTCGGAGTGGGACTGTGTTCCTCAGGGATTTGTACCTGGAGGCTCTATCTATGAAAGCTATCACATGGGTGGGAGTCAAGATTCTGCGTACGAGTACTTTGGCAAGGTAGGCCTGCCCCTAGATATAGTGTCCATGTGATGGGCTGTTGACTTGTTTTGAAATTTAGGAATATCTGCTGCTCGGTGGAAAGGAACCCAAATATCAAAAGCTCTACGAAGATACTATCGAAAGCATCAACAAGTATCTTCTGTTCCGGCCCATGGTACAGGGAGATTGGGATGTCATATTTCCAGCTAGAATCAGGATGATGTCCAATGGAGCCTCTCCAAGGGTCGAGTATGAAGTCACTCACTTAACATGCTTCATCGGCGGCATGTATGCTCTTGGTGGGAAGCTTTTTGGACGTGAAAAGGACGTTGAATATGCCAAGAAATTAACAGATGGCTGTGTCTGGGCATATCAATCCACAGCAACTGGAATCATGCCTGAACATGGACAAGTTGTTCCCTGTCCCAACATGGAGAAATGCAGCTTTAACGAGACTCTATGGTGGCAGGCGCTTGACCCCATTTACCGCATACGTGACCAGGGAGTGAGTGAGTGGGAGAAGAATGCATTAGAGCGTGAGCAACTAGAGAAACAGAAGCAGGAGCTTGAGCAGCAAATTGCCCAGATGGATACGGAAGCCAGAATTGAGGGTCTTGAAACGTTGGGCGAAGATGATGGAGACTACGGTTTTCAGAGAGAAACAAGCACTTCAGACTCAACATCTACCTCGGTATCTAGCAAGTCCAATCTTTTGGAGAGGAGAGCAGCCATTTCTGTGGAACCCGAAAATGTGGCTCTTATTTCTTCTGATGGGACCAGCTCACAAACAACGACCAGCAAAGAGCCCAGCCCAAACGATGAGCAGACCTCCAGGAAGGCCAAGTCGGACGAGTTGGATGATTCTGACAACAAACAAAAGCCCTCCACCCATCCAGGCACCAAAATCCCTACATTGAAGAATGAATACCACTCTCGCCCGGAAGTACACATCCCCCAGAACTATCCCGGCCGTTCAGGTTGGCCTCCAAAACCATTAACGCACGAAGAATTTGTACGAGAAAAGATTCAAGAAGGTATTCCTCCTGGGTATAGCTCCGTTGCATCTTCCAATTATATCCTTAGGTACGTCGTTCTGGCAATCCATCTTGTTTTATCACGCCATGTTCAATGCAGCTAACCCTCCGGGACAGACCAGAAGCCATAGAATCAGTATGGTACATGTATCGCATTACAGGTGACTCCAGCTGGATGGAGAAAGGCTGGGCCATGTTCGAGGCCACAATGAAAGCCACCCGCGCACCGCAAGCCAACAGCGCTATTGACAATGTTCTCCTCGTAAACCCTGCACTTCTTAATGAGATGGAAAGTTTTTGGCTCGCCGAGACACTCAAGTACTACTACTTGCTGTTCTCAGGGCCAGACGTCATAAGCTTGGACGAATGGGTTCTCAACACGGAGGCTCATCCTTTTAAACTGTAGGCTGTTGAGACTTTTGATGATGTTCTTAATAGCCGTATACCCTCTATTTCCTTCTGTACAATGGGCA